TAAGACATTTTATAAATTATTATTATTACTATTGTTGTTTTTATTGTTGTTATAATAATAGTAACAATTATTACTATAACAATATGTTATAATTATTATTATTATTCCTATTATTGTTGGTGTTGTTTTTATTGTTATTATTGTTATTATGTATTATATATTATAACAATAATAACAACTATTACTATAACAATATTTTATAACAATAAGTTTATAACAATTATTATTATAACAATCATAATAATAACTCAAGTATAGATATTTGATGATATTCTACAGCAGAAGTGTGAAACAATAGCAAGCTATGACAGACAAAAAACTTGATCTTGGATTGAGTTCTGAAACTTAATGAAGAATTCACTCCTACAAAAACTAGATGACAAACAAAAAATGACACATGGGAAAAAATAGATAGAAAAGAAACTAGAAAAGAAATAGAAACACTCACAAATAAAAAGGTGGCAGCAACTTAAGTGATTTTCCAAAGAAGGACTGAAAAGTGAAACCAGTCTAATGAGGGCTGCGCTGGAAAGGACTATTTGCATGGGATCTTTTAAAGCAAAGAGAGATGGTAGGAAAGATGTAAATGCAGAATTCAGGATGCAAGGCAAAGCCTCAGCCACTGTTAGTCACATTATAATGGAATATATCAAGTTGGTGTGAGATAACTTTAGATAGACTATAGCGTGAAAAAGATGGTGGCATTGTATAGGCAACACTCAGCAATATGAAGTAGAGAAGAAGTATTATCATGATAGATCAGGCAAAGTTGGAAAGAATAATGTATACAAACATAATGGGTTTTTTAATCATTCATGAAGTAACAGCACAGTGGTTATACAGAAGGAGGGGAGGAAGGTTTTTTTTTTCATTTGATGAGAATATTCGTTAAAAAAATGCAGGAAGAGACTGACAAATACAAATGTGGAATAACAGTGATTGAAGAACATATGGGGTATGAAAAATATAAAAAGACCGGTTATCTTTCAGGGAACTGGGATTTCTTGTGTAGGTATTACAATTGATTGCTTACACAGGAAACTGGCTCTCTCTTTTAAAGACCACAGGTCCTTCAGAAAGCAACACCAGTGATACCTCCAGCATAATGAAGATGATAACTTTTTGTACTCCTGGTCCAAGTTAGACCCACATTAGCAATTGTGTTCACCCAAGACTCGAGTTGATTGGGAGGCAAATTAAATATGTTTCTCATGATCATCATCAGTGTTGTCATTATTATTTATGGTAATTACGATGATGGTGCCTAGGTTATTTAATTCATTCTTTGCACGCCCAAAACTCCCACTGAAGGCCATTTACTGCTATACAGTGTGCAATTCTGCAGTGAGCCCTGACAAAAGTGTTAAAATCCAAGTGCCTAATATAAATCAGCAAACTTTTCATGCATGCACAGTCCACAAAAAACAACTATCCTTTAATTACTTCATTTTATTTTTAAATTTGAAATCCTTTAATTACTTAATATTATTTTTAAATTCTTAACACCAAAACTTTGCAGTTTTTTTCTTAGTCTCATTCCCCCAGTCCATTTGTCCATGGGCTGCTTGTCCAGAGTGAATGAGAATTGACTAGACAGAAAGCCTTTATTCACAGGAGTAAGTTCTTGCTCGTGTTAGCCATACCACTGGTTTTGATAATAACCTTTTATAATACAGCGGTTCAACTAGCATGGAGCACTTCAGGAGCTGGTCTCAGGACCAGCGCTGTCAAGTTTGGAATTTGTTTTTTGCAAAAGTGAATTTTCAGTGAACAAAGGCACTGAGGATGTGGCCACTTGGGGGACCCATTCATCACTGGGGTGTGCCAATTTACACCACTTGAGAATCTGGCCCAGAATACCATATTTTCTTGCATACAACACCCCCCCCCAAATAAGATGCACTCTTTGATCTCGAAAGGCAGAATAAACAAAAATAAGGATCTTTCCTTGAAATTACTGTTCACTAGCAGTAAGTAACTGAGTAGCATTAGCTAGAGAGCCCAGACTGCTCAGTGCACTGCTCCCCATGGAGCACATGCAGCCTTGCTTTTCACTCCCCAACCCTCAGGCTTATAACACAGAAAATGCTATTACCGTATTTCCTCACTTATATTGTGCACTCCAATTTCCAGCAACTGATTTTTGGAGAAATGTGTGCATTATATCCAAGAAAACAGAGTAGTGACCCTTTATTCACACATAAGCATTCCCATAGCCCATGAGGCTCAGCACCAATCAGCATTTAGCCCTTAACAGAGGGAAGTACAGCACAGGGAATTAGGAAGAGACTGTTTTCCATGTTTCCATTTTAGCTTCCAGTACAAAGGAAACAATGCAGAGGTTTTCACACACGGTAGGAAATTAAGAGTCCTCCTATGTGTTGTTGTCTCCCCCCTGCTTCCCTGCTCTCCCCCACCTCGCCCAAGCAACCACATCTTCCTTGCAACAGCTAGAGATCTTAACTCTATAAAAAAAAGTAATAACGAGAGAGCATAGCACATAAACCCATCTGACTGCGGTAAGCCCTCTGCTTTGATAACCCACGCCTTTATTCTTGTATGTGTTTCCTGTTGTCTGTGTAGGACTTGAGGTTGAATTTCCCCAGTTTACCTGTAGCTCCCATGGCCCTAATCTCTCCAGATCATGCTTGATTTTAATTTTCTTCCCTTGAGTGCTTCTTAGTCCCCTAATTCTGGTGCTGCCACCAAAACTGATCATGGTTATCCTCCACCTAAAAAACCCATGTGCTAATTCTTGTCACTTTATCCCAAGTCTCAAACTATTTAGGGGTAGATCCTATTCCACTTATTAGGTATATGGCACTTAGGCATGTAAGTGCAATTCTATTCCACACTGTTTTCAGGTCCTAAAAATCCATTAATGCATTTGCTTTTGTAACACTGATTACTTCAGTTTTAAGATTAAATTAAAAAAAAAAATGCACCAAGGAAGAGGTGGACCTACCCACCTTTTATATTAAAAACGTCTCAAGGACTTGAGCAGTGCAAAATAGGATTCATTTAAATGCTAAGAAGCATAAGTACTAGAACAGTACTTTTAACTGGCCCTTAATTTTTTTCCTTAGAGCACCAGCTCAAGGAGTCCTGCGATTATGTGGGCACCTTATCTGTCATATAAATAAAAACAAGTTTCTATTATTTCTGATAAGGAAAAAAAATAGAAAGGAATTGCACAGAAATAAAAAGGCAAATTTTCTGACTCGAGATTTTTTTGAATGCTTGGGTTTGGCAGCACTGTGTCACGTGGAAAGGCAGAACAGCTACATGGAGTTGAGATCGGGGGGGTGGTTTGTTATCTATCCTAAGAGAGTCCTGGAGGAGGTTGCAACAAGCAGAAAGTGGCACTAGTGACAAACTGACACCTGATTCATCACTTTGATAGGTACCTGAGGATGCTTCACAGCCTCCAGCTGGACAAGCACTGTATAGAGTGAGGCCAGATAAGCTGATCAGTGCTGATAGATCGGGGTGGGCAAAATGTGGCCCAGGGGCTGGATGTGGCCCACCAGGCCAGTCTATCTGGCCCACGGGGCCCCTAAAAAATTTAGAAAATTAATATTAATCTGCCCTGGTCTGCCTGTCATGTGGCTCTCGATGGCTTGCCAATACTCAGTAAGCAGCCCTCTGCCCAAAATAATTGCCCACCCCTGTGATAGATGTTATCTTTTAGCCAGACTCAGCCCCTTGTTCCTTTTACATCAAAGTAAACACATCTCTTCCTTCTCTCTGTAGACCCGCAAATGCGAACAATGGGAAACCCATGTCAAACAGATACAAGTGAAGCATCTGTGCCCTTAACGTCTGAATCGCCAAACAGGAAGCTATCACTGTACAGTCCATGCACCACCCGTGCCTTTACATTTCCAGTTACAACCCATGCTTTATTTTAAATTGTCCCCATACCTTCTGTTTCGTTGAAGTCGACAGTGCAAACAGGTCCACAAGAGCACAGAAGCATTAGCAGATACTAGTCGCTCACTATGCGAATTGTACTGCTTGGATTTGAAAATGTTGGCTCCTTCCAACATTGTTGAGCCCTACAAATTGGTTTCCAGGTCATTAAAAAAACCCAATAAAATATGCCAAACTATCTAGGCCTGTAACACAGGCAATACACTCTGATCACTAGCTCCCATAGTCTAAATCCTGAGTCAGTTTTAACCAAGGGCCCTTGTTTCTTTTATAGTCCTCAGACTACAGACCACAGCTGCTGCTGTTTCTCCCTCTTGTGAGCTCTTTCCTTCTTGCTGTTGACTTCACCAGGGGTTTTGCCTGAGTGAGGAACGCAGGATGCTTCCTTCTTTCTGGCACCAGGAGATAAATAGCAGAAGGGTAAATATGTGCTACCACTTGTTTCACTTAAGCAGTGTTTTTAAATGTGCCAATTTATTTCAGAGAGAGACGACTAGAACAAGCGTCCTGTAATTGTTCACTATGCATTCAGTGTAAATATTGTCTGCATATCACTGCAATAAACTCTATGGGGGGTTTTTTTCCCCCCAATCATTAGTATAAATACCATCAAAAAATTAATTAAACTATATTTCTACATAATGTCATTATAGTCTGTTTCTTTTTCTGCTGCTTAGTTTTTCTCAGGCTAGACAGCCAACCAAAGATATAAATGATCTGCTTCTCTTTCCCTGCTGAATCCTAAAGAAAATACAGGGCTTAAGATCCAGGGCTGGGTTTCAGGAGATCTGGGTTCAGCTCCTACTTCTGGCACATGAAGGTCATGGCATATGACCTTAATTACTTGATGCATTTGATTCTCAGCTGTCGAACAGGGACAGTAATACTTCCCTCATATGGATGCTGCAAAGATAAATCTCTCAGCCGATCAGAGTCACAAGATACCGTGGTGATGGGCGCTCGATAAAAACCTAGTTAAAAAGATAT